GAAAATCCATTTCCGCATATCATGGCGAAAAATGCCGCAGCACGCAGGGCGACAGATAAAGCAAGCGGGAAAAAGGATATGGGAAGCAGCAGGACTCTTTGGACTCTAACTGGGTCTGGGTCAGGATCTGGGTTAGGGTTTGGAGCTGTCCAGGCCTGCGGCTCTGATGCGTTGCATCCACAGCCATCCATGACAGTTGCAAAAAAAGAAAAAGTAACAAAGTCGCGGTCTCTGGTGTATAGAAATAAATTGTTGGTCTATGCCGACCAAGAGAACCCCTCACACACTGCGTATACGTGATGTGGAGTAGGGAAATGGTATGGAAAATACAGGGAAAAGTGAAAAGGGAATGAAGCTTACGAGAGTAATACTTTTAAGGTAAATTATAGATGTATAAAAGGGTATACTCTTGATATGAGAAACTAACCAAAATTAAAAGATTCTATCAACTTTCTTGCTTAAAATATGTCGCTAAAAACTATAACTTATATCTTTACTATTCATATTTAATAAAGGGTATTTTTCTATTCGTTTCCTTAACACACCATCACACACTTCGTATACGTGATGTGATGTGAGAAGGGAAATGGTATGGAAAATACAGGGAAAAATGGGAAAGGAATGAAGTTAACCAGAGTAATACTTTTAAGGTATATTATAGATGTATAAAAGAGTATACTCTTTAACCAAATTCTAAGTTTCTTTCAACTTTTTTGTATCAAATATGTCCCTAGATACTTGAACTTATATCTTTACTTTTCTTATTTAATAAAGGGTATCTTTCTATTCGTTTCCTTTTCTTTTTTGATACATTTTTCTGGGCTGCTGGTCAACAGGCGACCAGAGCAATAATGAAAAATATATGTGAGCACCATTAAAATACATCAGATAGGCATAGATCACATGCTTAGAGTGGGTGTGTGTGTGGGTGTGTGTGTGTGTGGATGGCGTAGGGTTGGGTGGGTGTGCGGGTGTAGATGTTGTGTGTGCGTGTGTGTGTGTGTAGTGTGGTCATTTGCTTGCCACATGCATTGCTGCTGTTGTTATTGCGTTATCTTTGCTGTCACAGCGACGTCAGGCGATGTCCTTCCATCCGGTTTTTTTTTCTATGTGTGTGTATGGGGCTTCGTTTGTGTGTTTTGTGGGAGGGGAGGAAAAATTTGGGGAGTGAAGCGAAGCTGTGTGAACTTTTTATGCAGGCCGAAATGTATGGCTCGTTAGGTAAATGCGAAAACTGGCTTCAATGTTACTTTAATAAAGTGAGGTCTTCATAAAGATTTAAGGGGAAAAAAGTAAAGTAAGGGGGGAGTAATAGAGTCATCAAATAAAATATTTTGTAGTTAAGAAAAGACCCAATTTATTATTGAAAATATAAAATAGAATTCCTCATAAAACCCTTAATATAAGGTAACTTTCATAGAATTATCTAACAAATTTCTGCTTCCTCCTTGACTTATTCTATAAGACTCAACCCATAACCATGTCCTTCTTGCACTTGCTGCCTTTAATAAATCTCTTAAATTGCCATTGGCCGTTTCCTGTGAACATCGAATAGCCCCATTGACAGACGAATTTAAGTAGCTTATCCTCCAGGACCTTCACAACCAACTCCCCGCTTTCCCCATCACCAGTTTAAGCCTGTGTTTCTGTGCCGTGGCAATTTAAACTTGTTTCTAGCCAAGTCTTGGCCAGAGAATCCAAGAGCTCAAGTGTTGCCCCTTGACTTGTCCCACTTGTTACCAAGCAAATGTAAGGTAACGAATGGCGAACAGTAAACCTACGGCCAGAGGCAACTTTAGTTCGCATGTGTTGTGGTCTTTCATCATGGGTGGGAAGGAGTCTACAAAAAAAAAACCAAAAGAAAAAAGGAAGAAAAAGGAATGCCAAGAAGGGACGAAAAACGATGGGCTAAGGCCCACATCAATTATGCGCACTGTTGGCCATGCCAACCATACAAAACGAACAAAAAAATGAGCAAAAATAAAGTGTGTGTGGTTCAGGGGAGCAAAAAACCCGAAGCTAAAACTCAAACTCTTGTGAAATTTTCTCCGGTACACCGGCAAAGTGCGTGTGTGTCTGCATTGTAAAAACTTTTAATGGCCAAAACAGTCAGGACTCCTTTTTAGCCTCTCCCTTTGGGCTGCTGCTGCATATGTGAACCACAGGTGCCTGGGCTACAAGGCCACTCCATCCTCCGCCAAATATCCTTAAAACATTTTTCGTTAACAACTTTACAGCTGTTGCCTCAATTCCCGGCCATAATCATTAACATTATTGCCCAGATTGCCTGGCGAATCACTGACTTTAAGTTTGATTTTCCGTATACTTCCGTTTTCCCGTTTTTCGTTTTCGTTTTTCCTCTTTTTCCCCTGTTGTTGTTATGTTCCCAATGCATTTTCAATATACAGTTGACAACGTCGACAATTTATTTGTGTCGCGGCCATAAATCAAAAATGCGTAAAAATTTTTTACTTCGCCCCCATTCCACCTTTAGACCATCCTCAGTCTTGGTGGCAGGCCCCAAAAAATAAGTATATATATATTTATATATATATATGTGTGTGTAGGGGGAAAGGCCCATTATCATCATCAACAGTCAGCAAAATGGCCCAAAAGGGGGCTGGGAAATCGGTCGGTTTGTGGAGGTGGAAAACCAGCCGGAATAGCAACAAGCAGGCGCACCTGAAACTCACAGCAGGCAATGCGGGCGGGGCCAGTTTGGAGAGCGAGGGTTGCCTTAAGAATAATTGGTTTCTAACTATGAAGAAAATGTTACTTACTTAAGCTTCTAATCAAAGTTTTTAGGCAATATTTTATTACGTCATTATACCCTTGCAGGGCATATATAGACCATTTATATAGACCATATAAAGTACATATATGTCTTCTTGTCCGTTCGTCCGTCTGTTAGTTTCTACGCAAACTTGTTATTTTAGTTTTGAAGGTATCTCAATGAAACTTGGCAGTTAGTATTCACTCTTATATTAGTCGGATCGGGCCAGATCGGACGACTATATCATATAGCTGCCATAGGAACGCTCCGAAATTTTTTGGAAAAACAATGATACCTTGTACAATTTTTAACATATATATCTAATTTGATTCAAAGCTATATTATTATAGAAATTCGTTTTTAGTTTTATGAAAATCGGAATACTAAATAACTGCAAGAGAAACGATTGTTAAATGTAGAGGATCAGTATGTATTTTTTAACATTAATTAACTATGACCAGTAAGTAACTCTGATCAGTAAGTATCAATGAACATTAAGTAACTCTGATCAGTAAGTATCTATGACCAGTAATTAACGTTAATAAGTAAGTATCTACAGTATCTAAAAATATCAGAAAGTTTCTAAGTATGTAAAGGGGACCAAAGCAGTAAGGAAATAAATTGGAATATATAGTCTAGACCTAGGTCTGATACCACCAATAGCTTCTTCATACATAATATAAATGTCATGGTTAAGACTTACCGCAGTAAAGGACACGTCATTGTTTACTTCCTTTCAGTGTAGTGACCAAGATTGGGTGACTTCATCCAAAGTACGCTTTTTCCTAGTCATCCAGATGTGTTTCATTGGCCACGTCATATTTTTGAAGTCGAAGGCTGATCACTTGCACTATCACTATTGATGTTAACACTAGGTACCCCTAGGACAGACTGAGGCGCGCGCGACCTCAGCGCCTCTATTTATAGTCCCCGAGCAGAGCAGAGAAGAGCAGAGCAGAGAAGAGCAGAGCAGAGAAGAGCAGAGCAGAGCAGAGCAGAGCAGAGCAGAGAAGAGCAGAGCAGAGTGTGAGTGCGTGGGAGAGAAGCAGTTGCCTCTAGAGATTAACATAGAGCGATTAACATAGAGTGAGAGGGGGAGAGGCAGAGAGGAGCAGCGAGCTGATATTTAATTTCCAGTTTCCAAAAGATTTTCATCAAATTTGGTAATAAGCCATTATATATTAATCTAGAATTTTGCGTACAATATTATGAAAATCGGACTACTTTATCATATAGCTGCCATACAAACGATTGTTTAAAATAGAGGCATTACTTTATTGTTTTTTAACATATATATATATATATATATATAATTTATATTGTATTAATGCCTAGTGATCGAATTTCGGTCTGCAATGGTATATAAACTTTCTTGTTTAAATTTAAATTAGGAATCGAAGTGCTGATCAATAAAATATATATATAATATACAAGAAAAGTTTATAAAATAATAAAACAGGAAAGAAATCTAATATTGCGAAGCGGAAATTTGGATATGGGAAATGGAATTGATAAAACTTAATAATTACATGAAAAATGCCTTAATTTCAATTCAGAAAGCTTTTCTGTGTTAGTTTTTATTGCGCAAATCAAACTGCATACTCAATTTCAAATTTTAGAACATTGAAATTTTTGACAATTTTAATAATGTAACTCCTTATCTTTTTTTTCAAAAATGGGAAAAAATTGACAAAATTTTGATTTCTTCCAGACATGCCTAGATCGACTCAGCTGTTGATGCTGATCAAGAATATTTATGATTTATAGGGTCGGAAATGACTCCTTCGCAGGATTTTAAGCATGTGACTAAAATTATAATACCCTGCAAGGGTTAGAGGATCAACTACTATTTGTATTATTAATTGTATATTTTTAATATTGTTTAACAATAAACAACATATCCAATCAATCATTAAATTAATATACAGACATTTGCCATATAAAAACCATATATCTCTTTGTAATATTCAAAGCATTTATTAGGAAGTCAGAAAAAGAAATTTCATATTTTTTATAAGATTTAATACTAACAAAATTTTGAAATTGATTATTAATAATATTAAAAATAAAACGAATTATAACCATAGATCTAAAAACTAATATATTCTAGTTTATTTTAACCAAAACAAGAAGTAAAACCTCTTTATAACCCATATATAAGTATATTCCTATACTATTTATTGCTGCACCTTGCTTAATACCCATTATTCTTAATCACCCCTCGCAGTACCACCCCTTTTCGTGAATATTTTCGGCAACAATGTTGCAATAACAACAGCAGCAGGAGCAGGAGCAGCAGCAGAAGCTGCAGGAAAGAGCCCAGGAAGGAGCAGGAGTTGGAGACGAAGGACGACCAGGAGTTGGCAGCAGAAGGCAGTTAAAAGCAGAAAGGGCATTCCGGGGGCCCCAAAAAGGTGCGTACAATCATTTTATTGATTTATATGCCGAAGCTATTACAACTGACATTCGAATTTTCCAACCTGTGGGGGAGTGAAAATGTGTGAGGTGGTTTGAGGAGGAAGGTTACCAGTGTGTGGCATCCCTGAAAATGCCAAAAATTGCTATTGTTATTGTTTTTGTTGCTCCTGATTTTGCCGTTCTTTTTTTTAGTTTTCTTGTTGTTGTTGCACTGTTGTGGAGGCTGCCTCGTGGCCAAATGTCCCCTGGTTGCCCCAGCAACGTGCAACAACTCGGGAGGGGGAGAAAAGCAAGGAAAATGAAGACGCAGCATCATGAGAAAAAGAAAATATGCCGGAAAAGCAGCAGCAGCAGCAGCAGCATCTGAAGATATGGCATTGGCAGTTTCTTTCTTTATATACTTTGGTCATAACAACCCCCTCCCCCTCTCCTTGGAGCCGCCTTTGGTGGCACCTCCTCTTCGGACCACCCCTATTTCCTTTATGTGTAGCACACTTTTAGGCGAGGCTTTTGTCTTTTTTAGTTTACTTACTTTTGACAGTGAAAAGGAGGCGGTGAAGGGAGGCCTGACAAGTGGGCGTTTTGCAGAAGGGGGGAAACGATGACGAAGTGGAAGAAGAAAGCAGAAGAAATGCGAGAGGGGGTGAGTGGGTGTAGGAGAAAGTAGGCAAAGATCTCAAGCAAAAAAGAGAGGGGGAGGCAGAGAATGCACCGAAAAGAAATGGCATTAAATTAACTCTTTAAACTTAAGATATAGTTTAAGTATTAAAGGAACTCTATTAATAATATAATAATATATTTAAATATATAAGATTTAGTATTTTATAATATTTATTTAATATTTTTCTTAATAAATAAATTCAAATATAATATATTTACATATCTCTATACTATACTATATTTCTATACTTATAAAAAGGGGTTTGCATAATTTTAAAGCAATTTTATCACTATTAAAAGCGTATTTTAATTAAGTCTTGAATATAGACAGCAGGATTATTTTTCTAGCAAATTAATATTAACTTTAAAGTTTAGGAACATCATAAATATATATTTATAAAAATTATATTTATTATACCAATAGAAAAACAAAATCTAAAATATCTTTTCCCCTGATTTTCTCTGTGCATTTGACAGCCTGACAGCCTACTCGTTACTTTGACAACAACTATGCTCATCCTCACCCTTACCTCCCACCCACACCCACACCACTTCAAAAGCACAACACTCCCTCCTCCTTGACTCCTTCCCGGCAAACTTCCCCCCTCCTAGCACATACCTCCCACCACTGAGTCTCTCCTCTTCACTCTGCTGCTCCCGACATCTTTGTGTATCCGTGAGATACATTTTGCGCGCTGCGCTTCTGCACTTTCACTTTCATTCTTCGCATTTTGGTATATAAATATATATCTATATATATAAAAATGCTCTGTTCGTGTCTACATCCTTCATAGACTCGAAAAGTTCTGAACCGTTTAAGCCCAAATTTTTACACAACATGCGTTGAGGTTCCAGCTCGGTTATTGACTACTTTTGATGTTGATAGCTTATCTGCGGTTGCGAATATATCTATTTTTTAGCGTTTCCCCGTGCCCCTACTACTGCGCCCTCTACAGGCAAATCAAAGCATTTCCTGTCAAACATTAAAAACATATTGAAAGAAGAAATTGGAGATAAAAATTTTATTTTTTGTTCAGGTTCAGTAAGAAACGAAGTCATGCCACCAAAAAAGTCGAGATTGGGTCGTTGTATTCGCAATACAGAAGCAAAAAGACGTAAGATTACGAATATGACTGACGAAGAACGGGCCTCCTTCCGAGAGACTGAGCGGCTGAGAGCAATGCATGGGAACGCGTTAATATTGCTCGCAGGTGATTTCAGACAAACGTTGCCTGTGATTTCCCGATCGACACCAGCTGACGAGATAAATGCTTGCCTGAAATATTCTATATTGTGGAAACATGTACGTACATTACAGTTGAAGACGAATATGCGTGTCCAGTTACAGAACAATGACTCAGCCGACGTATTCTCACGACAGCTACTGGACATTGGGAACGGAAAGCTGCCAGTCAATGAGACGTCGAGAAAAATAGTATTGCCCGGGAATTTCTGTAATTTAGTTACATCGAAGGAAGAACTTATCCAAAAAGTGTTCCCCAATATCCGAATAAATTATAGGAATCACGATTGGCTCAGTGGACGAGCGATTCTCGCTGCCAAGAACAAAGATGTCTACCAGCTCAATCATGTAATCCAAAAAAGCATAGAAACTGACGAAATTACATATAAGTCGATAGATACCGTTGTGGAAGCAGAGGAAGCAGTTAATTACCCTACCGAATTTCTAAACTCACTTGATCTGCCTGGAATGCCACCACACATATTGAAATTAAAAATAGGTGTGCCGATTACATGCTCCGGAATATAAATCAGCCGAAACTCTGCAACGGTACGCGACTCGCAGTCAAGAAATTGATGAACAACATAGTAGAAGCAACGATCATAACTGGTCCTTTCAAAGGTGAAGATGTCCTCATTCCTAGGATTCCTATGATCCCGACAGATACACCGTTGCAGTTCAAGAGATTGCAGTTTCCCATTCGTTTGGCGTTTGCAATGACCATAAATAAAGCTCAAGGTCAATCTCTGGAGTTGTGTGGTCTGGATTTGGATGAAGATTGTTTTTCACACGGACAATTATATGTTGCGTGTTCACGAGTCGGAAAACCAAAAAGTCTTTATATTTACGCGGAGAATGGAGAAACAAAGAATATTGTATACCAACAAGTATTACAGAATTAAATTAATTTGAAAATGATTATTTTTTGTTTGACTTATTTCTTATGCGTTCAACCACAATATGCCACAGAGAAACGTGGCAGTCCATTTGGAGAATGGTCAACGTGTCTATTTCACAGAAAAAAATGTGCAAGAAAGAGTCCTGAATCGGCCAGCGACAACTCTGACTGCCTTCTTCACCTTATGCCAGGAAGATGATTTTGCCAGAACCTTGATGTATTCAGAAGTGCCCTCTTAACCATAATATGCCACAGAGAAACGTGGCAGGGTACAGCTAGTATATCTATATATATATATAATAAGGAAAATCAATTCCCTCCCTGTGTTTTTTACACTCCAATGTCACTGGGCCAAAAATTAATTAAGGTCGCAATGGGGGAAAGTATCTATGTATGTATGTATATCCTCCTTGCCTCCTTGTATCTCTCTGACGCTTTAAACATCTGCGGATGGCTGTGTGCGTGAGCTCTAATTAAAATTTATATATGCGCGATAAGTTTTTAGTGGCTTACTTCAACTTCTTTGTCGACATTGTGCCTCCTCCTTGGTTAGTATTCCGGTTTTGATTTTGACAGGGGACGACAAGTGGCATGTGGTGTGTGTGTGTGTATGTAGGAAGCTAGAATCAAAGTTAAATTTAAATATTTGTCAATTACATAGAGGAATAAATGTCAAATGGTCATTTGAAGTGGGGAAAATATCTAATTTTAATAGGTGATTTATGAAGGAAAATATATTAAAATACGAATTAGTGTATAAATAAATTTATATATTATTAAATATATCATTAAATATATGAATAAATATATAAATAAAATAAATCAATTACTACAGGAATTCTAGAATTCTTTGTTTCTAAAAACTATGATTAAAATAAAAGAAAAACAGACATAAGAACACTATAAAATATTGTAAAGAAATTAACTAAATAATCATATTTATAAAGAGTAGAATTTTTGTAAACATTACTATTACTACATTTTTATTACTTACTTTCTTTATACTATTCTTATAACTACAAACTAATAACAAATTTTAATTACAATTATATTTAAAATAAAAAAACAGACTTAAAAATCATAGAAAGTATTTAAAATTAATACAATAAAGAACCATTTTATATACTGTAGGTTTTTCCCAAACTACCCTTGTAATTTATCTAATAACTTTCTAATAATTACCAACTGATTAATAGTATTAACCTCATCATCTCTACCTTCAAGAACTTCACATCATGTCCCAATAAAACACAACTAAAATCACTCCCCTAACAACTTCCTAAACACTCACAAAAACACACACATAATAAAACTCTCCTGACACAAATATGACAAATTTTTAGCAAATTGTAAGCCAATTTGAGATATTAATTACAAACATCGTTAATTTGTGCCATTACAAGGCGACATGCTAGCCCAGAAACAACAACAACAAAAATAAATATCAAAAGGGGGCAAAATACTAAACCAACCCCTTAAAGAGGAAAAAGAGGAAAATGCCATAGCACAATTTCATTGCGAAAAGTAGTGAAAGTAATGGCCAAAAAAAAAGTTTCTGACACACTTTGCCACGCAACAAGGAGCTAGGATATAGAGGAAGCTGCTTTGAGCCAGGCCAAAACCCACAGACAGACAGAGTCATGTGTGTGTGTGTGTGGGTGAGAAAAAAACGTTCAAAGTAACATAAACATGTTGAAATTTATTATATTTAGTTGTAAATATGTGTGTGCGTGTGTGTGTGCTGAAAATCCACAAAGGGAGCAAAAAAAAAGAGAAGAAAACCAACCCGTATTTGGTCTGGCGTTAAATGAGATATTTAAGTCATTCAGATGCTGTTTGGCCGATAAGCAAATTCAGGTCAAGCCTTTTTACCCGCCGCCCTTTTTATGTTTGGCCTTCCTTCCCACTTTCCCCCTCTTCACCCCCTTCATTGCTACCCAAATGCCTTTTTGGCCTCACAAAATAGGTGAATAATAATGGTTGAGGCCTGTTTATAATTTGTTTTTATTTCGGTCAGCACAAAAGTTTCACTTTTCCATGCAT